GCATTGGCTATTTTTAGGGAGCATGGTTTCTAAATAAGGCCTGTACGCATTATTTGACGAAAATATAATTTTATTTATACCCACATTTATGGTATTTCACATCCTTAATGATAGATTACAAGCATGTCAAATCTTGTTAGATCTTGATTGTTTATTTTATCCTTGTCACCCCGGTACATAATTTGCAAACTAAATCGTGGCTTATTATGTCACCAAGAAAACATTCATTTATTTAATTTATTAGAATTACCTAGAGACATTTCAAGCATATGATACTTTAATATACCAATATTTCAGAAATCGAATCAAAGACCATTGCAGCCGCAAAGTTTTTTACAGAAAATCAAATTTACATTAAACAACTATACGGTACATGTGAAAGTATAATGAAATATCACGAAATATCCGACATAACCTGTTTACATAGAATTTGGCCAGTAAGTATGAAGCGACGCATTAATATCATGTAAATCGATACTATAAAAATAATGACTCGAGCATGACTAAAAAACTGGTGATTTCATGATCTCAAAGCTTATAGTAACTACCTTCCTATAATGACAGAATGATACGAGTATCTCCAAGTGAAAACTAGGAAATTTAAATATAGAATAATATTTATTTCATAGTAATCTATATTTAGACTTTTGATTTTTACTAGTGATACACGCATCCGATTATAACACTACTCGAAAATCGACATACATATATACAGTACATATATAGTACATAGACTTCGACCCCATACATAAAATGCATATGTGCTACTGGGATCACCATAATTTCATGAGATTGCTATCATTACTCTCTAAGCTATCCACCCATCGAGAGCTAAGCAATTCCCCACTATGATTCGGCGGGTAACCAGTATAACTGACATTAAAATATTTTAAACTCTGAAATGCCTCAAGTATTTCCCCATTATTATCACACATGTATTTAAAAACATTTCGAATATTTCTTGCTGCATTTACATCCCAATGCCACGAAGTTAAACAGGTTTTTTGACAAATTTTTAATGCATAAGCTTGTTGTAATGTTTTGAACCAACTTTCACATTTGGAACAAATCTGTAAAGTACAAATAAATAAGAAAAGCAGATTAATAAAGAAATGATTTGCTTATACCTTGATGTACATGATACTGAAGTACAGTAAGCAAACCATTCATCATTAATAAAAACAAATTTAAAACCTACTTGAGATGCTCAAAATTTAGAAATTCATTTTGTATGGCAGTACCTCTTCAATTTTTTGTAAAGATATTTGCAGAACCTGATACATGCTCTCATAAAAAAGATTAGAAATAACTTGTATAAATGCAATAACTATTGTATTATTATAAATATCCTTTTATATCTAATTATTTTTCAACATAAAATAAACAGGACTTTTTGATTTCTAATATAATTATCAAATTTAATTT